AAAAATCAAGACCGAAAAAGAAAAAATATGTTGAAAATTGTAAAATAAATATTTGAAAACTATTTCTTCTCTACATATTTATTTCTGCATAAGGAAGTACAAACCCTTTGGAAGGAAAGTGACATTTCTATTTATAGTTTGGTATGCTGTATAGTAGGAGATATGAAAAAATACTACATAAAGTCTTATATAAGAAAACAAACATCCTCAGAGGAGTTTCCAGAGGTAGAAGGAAGAGAAACTTAGTATCCATTTTAGAGAAAAACTGGAAAAATAAAAAGAAAACTAAAATACTGAATGAGAGATCTGATGGCTGACATTAATTTAATGGCATAGAAACATAGGGATTAGACCAGGGAAAATAGAGGAAGAAGAAACATTAAAAATATCCTATTATTCAGATTAGCATTTTTGAAGGAAACTTGCAGTCAATTCCCAGAAAATAAATTTCTTTCTAATGGAGGAAAGTATGAGTATGAAAGTATATCCAGAATTATTTTAGAAAATCCAATTGAGAAATATCATTTTCCAAATACTGATTAAACCAGATTTAGGTAAGATTTATCCAGTTTTCTGATTATGATATGACCATCATAAACAATGATTTACTCATAGTTTGAAACTGGAATGACATGCTGCTTAACTAAAAAAAGTTTTTATGAAACAGCATTTTAGAGCACAACCTGTAGCCTCTTACTATACCTCAAATTATGCTTGATACCTATGTATTGGCTATTTTCATGGCACATTTGATACTAACAAGTTTTTTGAAAACAAAATACTATAGGAAGAAGTAAATTGTTAAGTGTCAGTTTTAGTAAGTAAGAAAAGGCAGTTTTATAACTCAAAGAAAGGTAATATTCTTAAGTGAATGCCTGCATTGAAGGGAATTAAGCACAGTATTTAAACTTTTCTGTTGTTGAGCTAATACTGTTATGATTTAGAAAAAAAGTATATATATTGCCATATAATTGAAATAGATTATGATTCATACCAGGAAAAATTCGAGATGGGTGGTGCATCAGAAGGTAATAAAGTTGGAAATTATTGTGGTGACTATTTGCTGCAATTGGCCCAGGATATCCTGGTTTTACATTTGCTGTCCCTGTGTAATTATTATTAATGTCTATTAATTAACTCTTAAAAGTGTTCTGGCTGAGATGATACACTATGTGACAGAATAATGGTATATGTTGTCAGTGCATTTTAAAGTGCACTACTACTAATAGCTAACACTTTGGAGTCTGCCAAGCATTGTGCTAAGCACTTTATTAGCATTGCCCCATGCAGTTCTCTCAATAATCTGTGAGGCTGTTAATATTATAGTCCCCATTCAAGAGAGGAGGAAACTCAAGTTCATGTTTATAGATGTTCAGGAACTTAACCAAGGTCACTCAGTAGCCAAGGTCCAAAATCAAGCAGTCTTGTTTTAGAGGTCACACAAATGATCATCACGAATTATTTATTTTCTCCACACTTAAAAAAAATTGTAAGACATCTGAAAAAAATTTAATTATGATAGGCAACAAAATGTATATGGCAGAAAAGGAGATTATCGAACATATATTAGGGGAAAAACAACTTCAAAACTTTTCATAAAGCTTTTCACAAATAGAGGTAGAATTCCCTGTGATTCATAAAATATGTCTGAAAGACAGAAATGTACTATGGGAGAGTTTATTCCATTCCCAGAGTATTATAAAATCCTTAATTTTGATTGTACGTGCAATGTACTGCCTCTTTTGAGCCCAATCATCCCTTTTCCACACACTTGTCACCCTAACCTCCTGAACTTTCTATCAAGGGGCTAAGATGGAAGTGAAAATAGGAGAGTCAATTCCTGTGAAAAATACAGATACATGTTATAATGTGTTTTGATCTGATCTAATGCTTCTATACTGTTTTTGCTTTTAAAAATTTAATCTTCGTTGTATTTTTTCCATGATCATTAGTCCTCTTATACTGCCCGCCCCCTCTAGACTTTTTTTGAATCTAAGTCTAATCTAGCCAGAATATTAACTTTCCCCAAACATTACTGTAATAAAAACTGGTTTTAGGTAACCAGTTCTTTACTTGGTGTTGAGAAAGAGAGAAAAGAAGAATGATCATTCTAAACTTTTCCTCTGCTAACTTCACATTGCTTCTACCCAGCTCCATGACTGACATGGGGAAATGACAGGACCCTTTTTAAAAGAGTGGATATGCTCTCTGCTGAGAAATGTTTTATTTTGTTTTGTTTTGTTTTCCCTGATGGATGCCCTGTGCATTCCCTGGAATGGGTAAGGCCTTGAGGCTTTCCTTCAGATATGTGGCTTATCTCTGGTAGACAGTAATTCCTCTTCTGCACCCAGCCATTGGAAAGGGGAATCCCAAAGAAAGAATTCCCTGCCTTTCACAGAGCATCACAATGGGGAAGATCAAGCTATACTATCATCAAATATTAGCTTACTCTCTAAGGTGGTCCTGGAGTTCAGTTTCTTATTACAGAACAACAGCCAGCCTTGTTTAAGGTGGGGGTTTATTTCTCCCTTTAATCATAGCTGAAATTTTTAAGTCCATCTTAGTTTAACTGTGGGAGGATTTTCAAAGAAAACTAATCTGTAAAGCACAGAACAGGAATGGCTTGTGAAAAAGAACAAGTGGAAGATTTGGCTATATCCGTATATGCTGTACCTATGAGTTACAACCAAGAAGTCAGTGATGAATAACAGATGAATCATTACTTCTGATTATTGAATACCCTGATCATATAGTTGTTACGTGGCCATTTTGCATAAGCACAGAAGCAGAATTCCTGCCAAAGATATTTTACAAAGGGATTTTAAAAGAAATATTTGTCAAATAGGTTAATTGGTAAGTGTACCCTATCTTCCATCCTTTTAAAGCCAGTGTTTTGGGGCTCTTTCTTACACTTAAGTATCAAATGGGGCGCACCTTATTGTCTACAGATCTGTACTCTCCATATATCGCCCCCAAAGTTAAACTACCTTTTCCTTTATTACCTACTCAGTATTAGCATACGATAGCTCTATATTCCCTCCCATCAAAAGCTGCTTTGGGAAACAATCTGATGAATTAGGTATAAATGACTAATAAGGCTTAAAATTACCTTTCCCAGGATTATGGCTTTGTGCTAGAGAAATATACTGAAAGGGATTAAACTCTAGCGGCAAAATATCTGGTGAGTTGGAGGAGGGGCTTTGGTTATGGGGCTTTTCTAGCTTGATAAACCAGATTGATCCCCGCACATGAGTTTAGGACAGGCTAGGACCAGGGATTGCATAGGGATTGGTCCTAGCATAGGGATTGGTCTGCTCCTATTTATTTATGTTTGGGGTGGGGGGAGGCGAGAGTTACGTTTTCTTGAACCTATGATGCCACATTTAAAGGGGCCCTGAATCAATCCGAGGCTAAATACAATATCGAATTCCAGAATTTAGCGGGAGTTGGTTGCGATGCTTTCGTGCAGTGACTTTACAGTTCAGAGCTCTACCACTGAGTCTGGTCAGACTCAAATCAGTTGCTGAAAGTGGAGTAGGAAGTCTTTCTTGTGCTGAATAAAAATACAATATGCTAACTTTGGAATTTATACAATGCCTAAGATCATATTCACATAGATAACTAGCATGGTATTACTAGTCTCATTTCCCAGCTTCTAGTTTAATGCTCTTACTTCCAGTTCTGCACTGACTAAGCCCGAACACTTCGGTACTAACTGCGAACCTTTAACTTCTGCTCTATGAGAAGGAACTACCTGTGCGAACTCCAGCAGTTCTGAAGGTAGTTAAAATGTTCCCACCCCTAACAATGTCTTGAATATCTTTGGAGCTGTTTCAAGTATTTGTCAGTAGCGTACAACATTTTGGTAAATAAATCTGATGGACTTGAATTCCTTCCTTTGGAAGTCATCTGTAGGGCATACATCTCTTTATTCAAACTTGGTAATAATAATTATTATCTCTGGAACACAGACGGAAGAACTGAAACAGTGACTTCAGGGACTCACGGAGTAATTACCATCACTGTACACGGTTAAGTACAGCAGAAACTGGGGGCGGGGAATGGTTTGTTCCGTATCTAGTACGTTCCTCCTCCGGGTAAAACAAGGCCGTCTTCTGTGTTAACATATTTAAAGCAGTGACTGCAAAAACTGTGCAGTGTTATGGTTGAGGCGTTTTCTACCATATGTGTTGACAGAAAGCTTAAGAGTCTTTCTCGGCAATAAACGCAAACCCTGCCAGAGTGAAATATTAGGGCCAGCGCAATTCAACGACTGCACCACCAAAACCACTGGCGGTGGAAGCCTGCGTCGCATTCGGAGCGTATTCAACGTTTCCTCTAACAAAGGCACTATCTCGAGACAATTTCGCGGGCACTTTTCTCCCTCCCATCGACAGCTTTGTCTCCCGGCCGGGGTGAGGCTGAGACTTGGAGGACCCCAGCGGCGTTGCTGGGCGAGCAAGCTAAGGGCAAGGGCCGGCGTGGGAAGCAACTCCGAGCTGCCGCTGCGGTTTCCTGCACACTGAGTGTGCCACTAGAGGAAGTTGGAGTGCTGCAGCTCAGATACCTGCAGCCTAAAATTCTGGGCAGGACTTGAACCCTAAGCACCGATTACAGTCGCACAAAGAAACTCCAGTGGCCGGGCCGGCGGAGGCCTGCGGGCTTCCCGTTTCCCGGGCTGGGCGCCGGGCAGCCGAGATCATTAGCATCCCCCAGCTTGGACGGCTAGGCAGCGGCAGGAAGGCCTCCCCCGGCCCGGGTAAGAGGGGGCCTAACACGCCACGCCTCCCACGCGAAGCCCGGACCACTGCCTGCTCTCCCCCCCCGCGCTTCCCCAGCTCCAGAGACCCCCCGGCCCCCTGCCGCCGACGTCGACCTGCACCGCCCCCGCGCGCGGTGACTGGCTCGCGCCGGCCTCCCGCCCGGCTGTTGGCGGTTGGGGCGAAGCCAGCAGGAGGCCGCCCCGCCCCCGCCGCGGAGCCGCCGCGCGCAGCCTCTTCCCCCCGCCCCCAGGCCGCCGGGGCTGTGGCGCTGTTGCCGCGGCGGCCTGTGAGGCTTTAACTCCCCTCCGCCCTAGACCCCTTCCTCCTCCTTTCTCTGTCTCCCTCCCTCTCCTCTCCTCCCCACCCCTCCCCTCCCCTCGCAGTCTCTCGCTCGAGTGAATGTGGCGCGGCAGCGCGGGACGCAGCCTCGGTCCCTGTCGCGGCCCCGCGAGCTCCTGAGACGCAGACGCTGCCCGCCCCCACCCCTTGCGCTTCCCAGGGGAGCCTCCGCAGCCGGGAAAGAAGAAGGAGGGACGGCGGCGGGAAACCGGGAGAGGGAGGAGAAGAGGGTTCGAGGGCAAGTAGGGAAGGCAGGGAGGGACGGATCGAAGGACGGACGGCCCGGGAAGGGGGCCGTCATCGGCCTGCTCGGCCTCGGTTCCGACCCCGGGCGTCGGCGCGGGTGAAGGGCGCGGCAGGAGCTATCGAGACAATAACCCCGCCACCCGGCTCTGGGGACGGCGTGGAGAAAGAGGTGGCGGCCTAGCGCAGCCGAGGTTCTCTCAGCGCCCCGGCCGCATCCGTGCCCCCGCCGGCCGGGTCCCGCCGCCGTCGGGAGTGCGGTGCGGGGCGGGCCGGTCCGGTCGCCCGGGGCCCGAGGCTCTGCTCTGCGCCGACGCCCCCCTCCCCGCCCCCTCCTGGCGCGCGGAGCTGGTTTTCCGGGTTCCTCTGGACAGAGCTGGATCCTGCTTCTCGCCAAGGCCGGAAGTGAGTTTCGCACGGTAATTCCGGGCGGTGTCACGAGTGAAAAGTTTTTTTTTCTTCCCCCGCGGAGATCCTAGTTGGGGCTGGGATCTCCTGCAAAACTCGAGACTTGAAAACCAGCCCGCCTCCCAGCCCCCACCAAAGCAGAATACTCTCCCTACCGCGGGAGGCCACTCCACATCCGCTCTCACCGGAGAGAAATTCGGCTGGAGCCCAAGTGACTCATGAAGGGGAGGAAATCATGTCTGGCGAAGCCTTGAAAAAGCTACCCTGAGACACAGTCCTACCGAAAGGTAATTGTCACGAAAAGTCACAAAGCTCCTGGACCAGGAAAGAGAGACTAATGTTTCTCACTTTTCCTCAAGCTGTCCTAAATTTTCCTTTGGTTTTGTCGAGCTGGACAGTGTTTCAGGTGCTGAACAGGAGAACTGATCCCCCCCAACCCCCACCACCATCTGGACTGGTTATTTTAGAAGAGGTCGTAAGAATGCGGTGGGACGAAAACTTTTAAGCAATAGGAAGAAAGAGTGCCTTTGTTCAGCACTAGGTCCAGAAGTTTTAGTTTCCCGGAACTTATACAATGTATATATTTTTTATTTATTAAGTTGCTGAACGTGGCAACTTTTGCTTTGGAAGAAAGTTAGGTGACTGCAGCGAGAGATTTACTGTTGAGATGGCTGCCACATTTATTTATGCTGTTACTGGTTATTTGGCTTTTGCGTTTAATTGTACATAGAGATTGTTTAGTCCGACCCTTATAAGTATATTTCTTTGGATTTTATAAACAACAGAAGAAGCTGCTATTTTTAATCGTTTTTCTAGATGGGTAATGCATTTCTTCAGTGACTTGTTCCTTTCAGACATTTATTATATTAATTGAAGGCACTGTCTGTTAAATTTTTCTTGTTAACTGACTTCGGAAGAAGAAGGAATAAGTGTTATGGATACAGTGAGTTATAATAAAAAAAATGAACAGCTGTGAGTTTGGTTTGATAGGACTTCTGTGCAATTGAGAACAGAACACAGGAAGAGGAGTAAAACGCTTAAAACGATTTTCATGGGAATCGCATTGATTGTGATAAACAACTGTGCTTTTTGAATAGTACAGTATTTACATTTTTGTGTTAGCCCTAATGTGGCCCGCTCAGCCTAAGTAAGTGATAGGTACCGACTGTGGGGGCAGGAATTAGTTAAGCATGGAAGACATTCCACCAGAGTTACAAACACTTCTGAACCAATCGGCAGTCTTTATAGATCAGACTAGTTTTGTTCCCAGCAAACACAAATGTTTCTCCAATGATGTCTTTTAAACTTCGGTTTTCCCCAATATTTTGAGGTAAAGGGAAGTAAAGGATAATACCGTGCTTTTGAATAATTATTAAATAAATGTGGTATTCTGCCAATAGGTATATCTAAAGTATAAATTGTTTGGTTTGTCCATGCTACCCCTCAAAAAAATTGTTGGCTTAAGTTTAAGAAAAAAGGTAGATTTTGAAGAGTATGATCAAATTATTTCACAACTCGTTCTTTGTTATTTTATTAAATACATTTCAAAATGGAGTTCTTTTAATTATTTATTAGTATATATTGTTTTGATTTTTCCCCAGAGCTTACTCTTGAGATTTTTTTTTTAATTTTTAAGTTGTTGATAAGATTTGTGAACTGTTCAGAAATTCCTGTTAAGTCAAAGTAGCTTTATCAAGGAATTTAAGTGCATCACTGATGTATTTTATGATTTTGGAATGTATCATTAGGCAGCAAAAGAGGTTATTCTTGGGCATTTGAAAGAGCTGAACAAAATAAATGGCATTGAACCTCAGTTTCCTTATATGGCTTATACTTGGCCTCAAAGCAACAAAGCCTTAATAGAGCAAGTCTTTTATAGAGAATTATCACTTTATGAAGATGTTTCTTTGCATTAGTACATTTTACATATAAAAATATTGTCGCATTAAAAAATAATCACTTAAATCCCTGTTTTTAGATCTTGTTCTTGATTTTTTTCTTGAGGAGCAATGTGTTTTGAGGCAGAAACACATTTTTAAAAGCAAGGTATTCACCTTTGCAGTTGCCATTAATCCCCCTCCCCCTTCACAAAATTTACTTTGTGGATTACTTAGACTTTTGTTAGTTTAGCTTTCAATTAACTTAATGAATATTAGGCCTTATGCTATTGTCACACTATAAATATTTTCAAAGCCTTGTTTAAATGTGACAATGATTTGAAAAGAGGTTTTAAAAAGGTGATAATCAGTTAAATATTTTTATTGCATGTTTTCTTAACAGTGATAACTGTATATATTTTAAATAATATCATTCATAAATCTCTAAATTTCAGTTACTTTAGAGATATTGGTACTGAGCTCTTGGTAGTAAACAATACCAAACTTTAATAAACACACTTAACCTTTTCAGAAAATCAGGTGCATATTTAGGCATTGATTTTAAATAATTGCTTATAAAAAAATAAATAATTGCTTATAGATAACATGATTTAGAGTTTAAGCTGCTTTTGGTTTAGAAATACAGATTATGGCAATGTTTACAGAGTATTTGGGATAATTCGTAGTGGTGTTGGATGGCAAAGTACTTTCTTTCTGGTAATTGCTACTTCTCTAGATTTTTAAAATCATGCTTTGTTGCTTACATTTTTATTTACGCTCTTACCCATCCATTTCTGTTGCATGCTTTGTTTTTTTCCTGGGAACACCAGAAAAAATCCTAAAGGTGTCTTTCTCTTTTGCTTTTCTAATAACATACATTGTAGCCCTGTTTGGTTGTTCACAATAGGTTATAACGTTTTTAAATACATATTGTTTGCTCATGCATAGAAAATGTATACATGAACTATCCTCTATAATATCTACTTTTGAATATAATAACTACTTTTGAATATTTGATTTATTCAACATTATTTGTTTTTTGTTTTTTTCTTGGTGCCTGCCATCACTGACTCTTGAACCATACTACACCCATGTTTCAGATTTACCTTTTAGCATTCTCTTCTATCTTATGTTTCCTAACAGTAAGAAAGAAATCTAGCTGTTATTCAGCTTTCTTTTCTAATTTCTTTAGCTTCCTGTTTTTAGTTAGCTTCATTTATTTCCCCAATTTTTTCTATGTTCAGCTGATATTTCTTAATTATATTTTGCCCTTCCCCTCTTTTCTAAACTTTATTAGCCCGCGCTTGTTACCTAAAAATACCCCCCAAAAACCCAAAATAAACCCTGTTCCAAACATGAGTAGATAAAAGTTATTTGATCAGCTCCATGTAATTCTGAATATCCCTTTTGCATTTCAACTCACTTTACATGCCAGTATTTTAATCTGATATTTATGTTTTGTTTTTATTTGTACTTTGTTTCCTCAGTACTTTTTTTTTTTTTCTTTAATAACTCCCAAATTACCTTTGTTAAGGTCAGGTTGTTATGTATTATTGTATTAAGACTGTCTACAATGCTTTATACCGTTTTGTACTATTATGCTTTTGGCTTCTTAAAACACACAAGCTTTTATCTTTATACCTTCCCTCTCCATTTTGTGCCTTTTCTTTCTGTCCTACCTCTCAAAGTTAGATGTCTTCTCCGTAAGTGTTTCTAAAATTTTGAAATTGCTTTTCTTTGTCTGTTTTTATGAAATAAGCACAGTGGAATTCTCACTCTAGCACAGTGGAATTCCATCACTCTGTTCTTGTCATTTCAAATTTTATTCCAGGTACCATTGGATGAAGAAGGTTCTGCCAGGCTTTAGATAACATGTAACACACTAGAAAAGAATATCTAAAAATTAAATTAATAAAAGAAGAACCTACTTATGTGCAGGGTATCTATGACTTTAGGTATATAGAATGTAGTAGAAAAACTAGAAAATAAACAGATATCTAATCACCACCGGCATAAAAGTCTGAGGACTTCATTCCTAGGGCCTTCCTTATTCAGAGCCCATTTAATTTTGTACACGGTAAGCTGTTTCCTGCCTTTTTGTGTACTAGACAGGGTGAGGGAATAGAAAAAAGGAAAGAAGATTGAGAACTTAGAAAATAGAGTAATCTTGGACAACTTGCTTTGGGACTGAGTGCCTTATATATTGCATTTGTCCTTAGAAGGAGACACTATGTTACAGCATAGCATAATTAGAAGTAGGTAGCCCTAAGACAACTGTTCTCAAACTTTTTGGTTTTAGGGTCTCTTTATACTCTAGCAAATTACTGAGAACCCCAAAGCTTTGGTTTACGTAGCTTATATTTAATATTCCCATATTAGGAATGTTTAGAAATTAATTTGAAGATAACAGTAAACCATTGCATGTTGACATTAATACTGTTTTAATAAAAAGTAACTATTTTCAAAAACAAATCTTTAGCAAAAAGTGTGGCCTTATTGTATATTTTTGCAAGTCCCTCATGTATACTTGAATAGAAAACAGCTCAATTGTCATATCCACCTCTGTATTCAATCTTGTAGTATATTGTTTTGGTTGAAATATATGAAGAAAATTTAACATTATGCAGATATTGGTTGGAAAAGGGAGGAGTATTTTCATAGCTTTTTAAGGTGATTGTGGGTATTCTTTGATACCACACCAGAATTTGACAAGTAGTATTTTAAAGGGTAACTGCAATGTCATATCTGAAACTGTATCAATGAATTTTCCATTTCTTGTTTCCTGAAAATTCATTATTTTTCTTGCACTTTGAATCTTTCACCTGTTCATGGTTTTGTAATACCATATATTGGTTCTTTGAGAAATACTGATTCATTGAATTACACATTTTCCCCATAATGTTGACACATTTCATTATGTAGTAGCAAACAAAAACAAAATTGTTAATATCACCACTAATCTCATCAGAAAAGTCTTTAATATTATGAGGTTGTCAAGCTTAAGTTTTCCACAGTTCTAAATTTTCACTTGGAAGTTGAAATTATGGAGTGGTAACAGATGTGTTAGTGTCTTTCCCTTGAAGTTACAGGCTAACTTTATTTATTTTTAAGAAAGTATCAGCCAAATTCCTAAGTCTGTATAATGAGTTTTTTATTTGTTCTTTGGCCAAAATAGCGTTTCATAGGGAAACAAAGGTTAATTTAGCTTGTAGCTCAAAGTAATTACAGAAGAGCTTTTTTTAAAAGACGTGTTGAAATTTAATAAAATTATTTTTCACTGCTTCATTACAGTCATTCTTAAATGAAAGTGGTATTTAAAAAGAAATATGGGATTATGTAGTGGTAGTATGACATTTGTAAAGAAATATGGGATTATGTAGTGGTAGTATAGCATCATACTACAGCTTTTG